GTTTAAAATCAAAAAAAAAAGAGAAAAAATTGGTATTGTCGTGATTCACGCTTTGATTTCCCGGCCTCTCTGACTCGAGCTTAACCCGTTGGGTGCACTTTGTCGCCAGTCTCTCGAGCTAACTAGCTTGGGGGTTTCCTGGACTAAAGTTCGATACATGGGTCAGAGAGATAACACAGCGGTGTCGAGCCTTACACGAGTCATGATTGTATCGTGTTTAAAAAAAAAAAACTCGTGATGAAAATCACCAAAAAAATTGTTGTTGTCATTTTTCTATTGATTAAATAGACCTACATGTGCCCGATTCGAGTTTTTGAATTTCAGAATCAAAACTCACTTTTCGTCCACATTTCTACTCAAAACCCTCGATGATTGTGCTTTGTGTTTGATTACGGATTTTAGAGTCTATCTAAAATTTTGGTGTGGAAACAACTAATTGCGTCGGTATGGAAGTCAAATATCTTAAGCCGTACGTTATTCTAAAATTTTAGGTTACCTAGCTCGTTTTATCTTTGGAATTAATTGCAATGCCTTGACCAATCCGACAACTGTGTGGGCGTGTTGTCTGAAAACCTCACGAGACACAACTCGTCCTTTGGGGGTACCCATAGGTTTAAAGGCTTGTTGCATACGCTAAATGCAATCGTGATTCCCTACGTTAGTGGCCTAGGTTTAGATTTTTTTTCTTTTGTTGTTTTTGTTTTTGTGTTTTTTTTTTTTGTTTTCATTTACTCGGGACGAGTAAAGATATAAGTTTCAGGGTGTGATACGTGTTCATTTTGCATGATTTTCACTTATCAATTCTTCGAGTTTTGGTCTTCGTTCGTCCGAGTTTTCGGCTTTTTTTGTATATATTATGTTGTTTTTTTTTATTTATATTTTAGGTGAAGAGAAGCTATTTTTGCCGATTTGAAACGATTTTGGAAGCGAAGCCCAAAATCAAACCAAACACGTGCAAAAGTGCATTCTCGCGGATTGTGGCAGTGTTTGGTATTTCAAGTATAACTTTCGCATACGACCTCGGATTTAGCTCATTCAAGTAGACTTAGAAAGATAACTTCAATATCTACAAATTTTGTGAAATGCAAAATTGTCAAATACGGGCTAAAAAAGAGTCAAAACAGTGTTTGAAGTTGGCGCAGAAGCCTAGATCGCGATCCAGCCTTCCTGTATCGCGATCTGGGGGGTCTTACAGAAGGCTTTTTTGATCAGGACCTAGATCGCGATCCACTTTCCTGTATCGCAATCGGGGGGGGTCTTACAGAAGGTTTTTTGATCAAGAACTAGATCGCGACCTACCATTCCCGTATCACGATTTGGCAAAGGCCTGCGCAGTTTCCAAGGCTGCCAGATCGCGATCCAAGAAGCCCAGAACGCGATCTGGGCATATAATTCGAGACCAGATATTTATCTTTGATTTCTTACTATAAATAAATATAAGGTCTTTTTTTCCATTTTTATATATCAAGACCTAAGCTCAAGACCTCTTCTTCGATTTATCTTTGGTTTTCGCCAGTTTCGACGAGGGTTTTTCATAAGCTTTTCTTTACGTTTAGTTTATGATTTATCGTGCTCTTCATTTTAATGCTATGTTTGTAATGAACTGAACATTTTCTTTTAGGGAAATGAAACCTTGTATATATTGATTTTGATTTCCAGATCTGTGAGATATTTGTTGTTCTTTGATTATGTATATGTTTTCCTGTATTAAATGCTTTCGATTGTTTGGCCAACAGTTGAATTGATTCTAAATAGGAATTAACTCGAGAGAGGATTTCTCGTTTGATTTTAGGAAAACATAGCACGGGTTGTGGAAACGGAGACGTGATGTATCTCGGGTAGCCCTTAAGGACTTGACCTAAATGCTATCTATAATAACACGGAGACGTTGGACCTGTGGGTAGACTCTAAATACACTGGAGATGGGGGTTAGGGTATTTTAGTGTCTGGGTTAGAGAATATAGAATTGACATTAGATTCGGATTTGTAGATCTTTATCGATAGTACACTGGTGGATTTTACCCTAAAAGCCATCACGCGTCGGAATTCCTCGCTTGTACTGGCGGACCGTTGTTTTTATTATTGTTTTTTTCTTTTTAGTTTCATTTCTCCCATCCATTCTTGATCGTCTAGATAAAGTTTAGGGTAGTATAATTACGGTAATTGGTTAATTTAGTGTAACACCCCACATTTTCGGTAAAATATTATTATTTTATTTTACCACCTCTATGTGCAAATCTATGAAATTAGAATTTAGAATAATTCTTGCATGATTAGTAATTACGTGAAAATTAGGTGATTATGTGACATATATGTTAGAGTAGGTGACCAACAAGCCAACTTGTGGCTGTGGTCTTTCATATTTATTATTGTAATAAACAAACCTTTATTCGTATTAATGATAAAACACCTTGGCATTCTATATCTTTGTCCCTTTGTCACAAGCATAGATATAGTCCTTACAGTTATTACAAGTACTAGTAATTGATCGTTAGGATCGTGAGATATTTACTTAAGTATTATAACTGTTAAACGTGTTCCTAGTCGAAGGGTTACGCCACCAATGAGGATATCGGCCTTTCCCATTAGAAGACTAGCACTTAGTGTATGTGTACTGCATCTCATCAGTAAACGGTATTGTGATATCGGCATACATAAGTGGGTGCTCGTAAGTTGACGAGTTCACTGAACTCCCTCACCCTAGAAATCTCTAAGTGGTTCCCAATAATCGAGTAGAGATATCTATGGTATAGTTGTACACCATTAGTCCTTATGACCTAGACATCACCGTGACTTCACTAGAGGACCAGCTGTATCGTGACCTGTCCCTGAGTTCCACCGAGGACCATCCCAAGGGCCAGTGTTCGTGCAGTCCGAAATCTAGTGGGAGGTCTGTGCATTGTAGTCGGGGATTCGATCGCTAGAATAGTCTTGGATGTCCTGTGTGTTCTGAAAGTTTGTAATCATTCTAAGTCTCTGGCCAGAGCTGACTAAGTGATGATTAGAGAATTTGATTCTCTAAGTCATGCACGTAAGGATTACAACACTTAGAACGATCGCACCGTCATCGAACATATAGAGAGGTCTCGATGAACCAATGCCTCTAGTTCGATCGGGACATATGAATCGAAGGGACCGTACTGTACGTTAACTATATCTGAAGGTTCTTGCAGGCACTTCATTTGTATCTAGGGAATCATGACGCGTAGTTGCTAGACCCCAATCTTGATTCGTTGGGTGATTAAGGTGAAACGAGCTTCATCTTAATCGTAACTCGAAGGGGACGAGTTTTGACCACAAAGGGTTGTGGGCCCACGGCTAGCTTACACCTGAACCATCGAGGGTCACACTGCTCGTGCACATGAGATCTTTGAATAAACGGTCAGAGATAAAATAGTTTATCTTTGCATGATTGGAAGTCAATATGATTGAGTCCAACATTCGTAATTTGGAATTATGAATGAGAATAAGAAAAGGAAAAGAATAGGCGAACGTATTAGTGAACTTTCTAAATCGGGAAGTTTCCAAATTTAGAAAGTCCACTGAACTAGGGTTTCCACTTTTGGAAAGTTGGAAAATAAGAGGTGGCACTCGTAATGACGAGGAAGTTATAATGATTCCGAAAATGTAATCGTTGCAATTTTTCGGTCATTGAATTGAGAGATACGAGCAAGTAAAGGAACTAACGAGCTTAAGCTATTGGGCCCAGTCCAACTTAAGCCCGCTAGGGTTTTATGCAAGGGACTATAAATACATGATTTATAGCCCTTGCACACAAGACAACAAACCCTAACCCTAGCGGCCGTCCCCTCTCTCTCTCGCCCCCTCTCCCGCGCGGCCACCTCCGCCGTTGGCGCCGCCCCGTCGCCGGAATCGCCCATCCCTTGGCCGATCCATTTCGGTATTCTTTTCTCCTTTCTTTTTCTTCCGTTAATTCTAACTACTTCGTGTCTAGTGCCACGTTTTAGTAGATCGAAGTATACGAGGTGAAATCCGAGAGGAGGAAGACCGTAGATCGAAGAATCGAGGAGCAACGCACGAGCCGAAGCCGCACGCTGCCCCACGCGCCGCCTCGAAGCCGCGCGTATATCACACGCTCCGCCGTGACCTCACGCGCCGCTGCTGCCGTTGCACCGCTGCTGCCCCGATTCTACGGATTGGTTTCCGTAGTAATCACGAAGTGCTAATCGCTCCTACCTCACGCGTCAAGAGGTAAATATACGAAACCCTAGTTTCGTTTAGGGTTTAATTTAAACTATGATTTCATGCTTGTGTTTGTATGATTTTATGTGATTATGTGTAATCGGTTTTGAATCATTGCAAGCATATTATTTGGTTTAAATTACGAGCATGTTAATTGATTTAAGTACGGTTAAGTTTATTAGCATGTATGTTGTTTTATTTTCGCTGGAAGCGCAAAGGTACGCAATTAATTGAATTTAATTTATCGGGCATGTTCTTATGTGTTTTTAAAGTCGTTTAAATCGCATAAATTTTTGTTTTCCGCTGCGTGTGCGTGCCCGAAACCCAACAATATATGATTATGTGAATTATGTGATTATGTGAAATATATGATTATGTGAATTATGTGATTTTGTGAATTATGTGATTATGTGAATTATGTATTTAGGAAATATTTTGAGATATTATAAAATATTTTTCATGAACTAAGATTTTATTCTTGCATATGAATTTAAGTGAGAATTTTATCATATTTATGCATGCACAAACTTTTAGAAAATATTTCTCACTTTTAATTAATAAAATATATAAGAAGAGTAAAATTGGAGAAAAATAGAATTATGTCTCTCACGTATATTCCTCATATTTATAGTTACATGTAGGAAACATAACCTATTACACAAGGTAAATAAGAGATATACATGTCAGGATTACAAGATATATCTATAATAAATAATAATTATAATATATCAACAACATACGCTAATACACCCCGCAGTCGAAACGGGAAAGGAGAGGACGTGAAGACTGGAGACTAATTACTGAAACAGTTGGGTTGGGAGTCCTTTCGTGATGATATCGGCAAATTGGTAGGCGGATGGGACGTGGAGGACTCGAATGTGTCCCAAAGCAACTTTGTCGCGGACAAAGTGGATATCAATTTTCAATTTCCACATGTTTTGTGCGACAGTGTTGAATAGAATTATTGGATAGGTAGACGGCACTGATGTTGTCACAATAGATAATGGTGGATTTCGAAAGAGGGCAAAGCAGCACAAAAAGTAGGTTGTGTAACCAAGTTGTTTCGGCGACAGCATTTGCGACAACTCGATATTCAGCCTCAGCACTAGACCGAGAAGTGGTGACCTGTCGTTTGGAAGACCAAGAGATGAGGTTGTTGCCGAGGAAAACGCAATAGCCTGATGTCGAAAGACGAGTGTCAGGACAACCACCCACCCACCGGCGTTAGAGTAAGCGACAAGAGAGAGGTCCAGATTGGGGGAGAGGAGAAGCTCGTGGTCGAGGGTGCCACGAATGTAGCGAAGGATACGCTTGAGAGCAGCCATATGAGGTTCCCTCGGATCATGCATTAATAAACAAACTTGTTGCACAACATAGCAAATGTCGGTACTAGTGAAAGTGAGATATTGCAGTGCACCGGCAAGGCTGCGATAGAGGGTAGGGTCAGCAACCGGGGGTCCAGTGGTCGAAGACAACTTGCTCTTGGTATCAGCCGGTGTGAGGCAATGGTTGCAGGAGGACATGTGTGCCCGCTCTAGTATCTCGACGGAAGTCTTGAACTTTATTCTTGTAAAATGTTAAATTTAATGAAATTTTGATTTTAGATTGTCTTTGCATGTTAAGATTTCGGTTATTTGTTGTATTTAATTATGGATTATATTTTTTATGCTAAAGTGATTGTGTGGAACTTTATTTGTGTTTTGCTATGTGATTTTGCTTGTTTATGTGTTGATCATTGAGTGTGAGGATGAGAAAAGGGATGGGTGCATGTGTAGGTGCATAAGTGTCATGATTTTTAAAAGGTAAGAATATGTTGGAAAGTCTTTCGAGGTTACGGTAAATAACCAGGGTACGACGAGTCGGTACCGTAGGGCCTAGGGGTGGTTTGTTTCCACGTAGATAGACGGATTCATAAAATATGAGGTTATTTATCGGGAACTTAGATTGATTCTTCCAAAGGGATTCCCGATGATTTTTCATATTATGCATGTCTCATTATGATGTTGAAGATATTGATGGGAAAATCTCACTCTATGGTCTTGGGATCGTAGGTTATAAAGGTAGGAGATTCTCATTCTATAATCATCAATACGTGTCATGGCATAGGGTTATAAAGGTGGGAAATTCTCACTCTATGGTATTGGGATCATAGGGTTATAAAAGTGGGAATTTATCTCACTCTATGCGCTTGACAATTCTATGACGAAGAACTCCGACGAAAAATGGAAGTGTATGATTGCTTTATATATATATATATATATATATATATATATATATATATATATATATATATATATATATATATATATATATATATATATATATATATATATGCTCTATGTGTTATGTGTATTCGATAATACTTCAAGATTCTCATTGAGTCCTCAAATGCTCATATAGGTGTTGTATGTTTGTAGGTATACCCGATTGTGGGCCCGAGGAGTGAAGTTGGGAACGAGTTTGAGAATCGGGAGGAGATCGTATGGAGGGGTTGTGGATTGTGTTGGCTCTTAACCTAGCTATGTGGTTCTATTTGTATAATATGCTTGTAAAAACTTTTGATACGGTTTTAGTTATTTTCATCGTTCACTTCCTCCGATCGGTGGAAATTATTAAAAGACAATATGTGTAATAGTAATTAGGATTACCCCCTTTTTGGATATTTAGTCGGTAATCCGTAATATTTTGTAAACGAAAGCGAATTTTACTAGCTATAAGCATGCACGCTTTTCGGCTAGTAACTTCTTCGTGTCTTGTCTTGATGTTTGAAAATTATTTTCATATAGGTGCTCTGCTTAGAAAATCATGAAATATTTGGATTCTCTGCATCACTCTGCTCTCATCATTTTGATAGGTCTTTTGTATGAATTGGGTAAGTATTTAATTAGTTATGAATTATGTCTCACTACTGCACTAAAACACGGTCAGTCTAGTGTTTTCTGTTATAACTGGAGTTTTACTCACCCAAATGCCTTGTTTCCACTTGGAAAATGTTTTAAACTTATTTTTCTGCCTTGGGATAACATTTAGTAGTTTTTGGGTCAGTGAGGAATTTATTATGATTTTTCAAAACTCCCTCCCCTATTCTGGATTTTAAATTGAGTGTCTATACAATTTTATTTATGTCTCCCAAATGATCAAGCATATTTCTAAACTGTTTTAACTGAGTGATTTAGACCCATGTTAGATGGTATGGTATTATTTTGAGTCATTTGAATGAGTAGTTTAAGAGTAATTAATTTTTTAAGTCGTTGCACTGAATGTGTCCGAATTTTCATTAGGTCCATCATACCTTGTTATTTTATAGTCTTGCATGTAGCATGTATTTGTGTTAATTGATTAATTAGGGTTTAGTATAGGATGACCTCTCTCCCTCTGATTTTAAAAGAAATTTGTTTACGTAAATTTATATCCACAATAATCATTTTTAAAAAAGTCTTCCGCTGAGATTACATATAATAAGAGTAATCGAGAGAGGGGTGTCACATTTAGGAACTTAATTCCCTGTGGATCGATATTTGGAATTCACTATTCTACAAAACGCGATACTGTACACTTGCGGTTTTTCATACGTAGGTTTTACGTGTATCAAGTAGGAGAAGGGGTTGTGAGCTGGTCGTGGTCGAGAGGTGGTGCCTTAGGCGTAACAGGTGTCGGCTGTGTTGGAGGACTGTTTGACGAACTGTTGGAACAGGATGATGCACTGTTGGAATGGTTGGATGAACTGTTGCAATAGTTGGACGAAGGCTGAGGGAGGAGGAATAGTGAGTGTGCATTTTCGTCCAAGTCAGAGATACGGAGTGTGTTTGTGGGGGGAGTTGACTCGGCAAAAGGAAAATAATGATTCGGTCAGTGGATCTATCAAGGCAACGATAACCTTTATGAGAGGAAGGGTGACCGAGATAAACACAAGGAGTAGAGGGGGGTGGGGGGGGGGGCTAGTTTATGTGGTGTGGTGGCGGTGAGGTTGGGATAATAGAGACAGCCGAACACTCGAAGATGGGAGTATGTAGGTTTTGTGAGGTAAAGTGCTTCGTGAGGGGTCCGGTTTTGTATTGTTTTGGTAGGTAAGATATTGAGTAGGTGGGGGGCCGTATGAAGGGCTTTGACCCAATAAGTAGGAGGAAGATGAGCTTGAAAGATGAGGGATCGAATCATGTTGGTTATAGTGCGGATCATCCGTTCCGCGTGTCCGTTTTGAGGGGAGGTGTGGGGACACAAAAAATAATTTAGGATGTCGTGTTTGGTAAAGTAGGATAGAAAAACTGCATTTTTAAATTCCCGTCCATTGTCACTTTGTAAGGCTTTGAGGGGATGTCGGAACTGAGTGTTTATTAGGGTATGAAAATTGACTAAAGTTGCAAAAACGTCAGATTTATTTCGAAGTGGAAAAATCAACAGATAATGGGTAAAGCCATCAACTAACACAAGATAGTATTTGCAACTGCAAGACTAGACACATGAGAAGTCCATAAACCATCATGAATAATTTTTAATGGAGCAACAGTAGTAGATTGTTGAAAAGAAATGGAAGATGAAAATGTTTGCCCAATTGACAGGTATTAAAAGAGACTCCGTAGGGTGTTTATTATGGGAAATAAATTGCTGCAAAATAAACGGGACATGACGTGTTTGCCGGGTTGACCTAGACGCCGATGCCAAAGTATTTGAGACCAAGGTGTTGAGACAGTGAGGAGAGCAGCGGGAGGTAAAGTGGGAGAAGAGACGCCAAATGGATATAGGTCACCGGAGCTATTCACCTAAAAATCTCGACTCGACTTAGAAGATCCTTTACAGAAAAACCAAATGGGTCAAATTTTATCGAACATGAGTTATCAGGGGTGAACTTTCGAACAAAGATAAGGTGATTGATGATATTGGGTGTGACATAGACATTTGTGATGTGGAAAGGAGTGGTGGTAAGAATTGTGTGGCCTATGTGGATGATGAGGAGGGTGGAACCATTATCGACGACAACATGTTTGGGGAAAATACTGCTAGGATTGAAAACAAAATCGAAATTACTTGAGTGTGGTACCATATTGGAGGTCGCCCCACTGTCCATAAACCACTGTGAGTCGGTTGGCTGCTGAGGTGTCACCGTGTTAACGATTTGCCAGATCCACCACATTGGCACTGTAAGATGAACTGTTGTAGCAGTTGATGGGACTGTTAGGGATGTGCCATGGCTGCTGTTGAGGATGAACTTGGGCAGGGACGAAGTAGCCGTTGTAGGGTTCTTGTGGTCCAGTAAAGTAAGCTTGAGCCGCTGGAGTGGATGGGTGGCCCGAGGTACTCGGAGCGGGTTCCAGAAGCGACGGGGACGACTGTTGTTGATAGGGCGCGCACCACGGTTGGGATTGGATATGAACACTATGGTAGCCGTAGTGCTACATAGGGTGACAGTTAGGTCCGCAACCTCCGCGGTGGTTGGATCAGCCACCCCCGCGCTGATAAAGCCAAGAACCACCTCCACGGGAACTATTGGGCGGACAACTTGCGTTGGAGGAGTAGAAAACAACGACGATCTGCTCAGGTTCAGCATGTATATTTTCTTTCATCTGGAGAAGCGATTGAGTATGGAGAAATGTGGGAAGGGACTTCTGAAAGGAGATGACATTGGCAACGCTCTCGTAATTTTTCGGAAGGCTGTGTAGGGTTTGTAGAACGAGTTGTCTATCGGAGATCGGATTTCCGACATCGGCCAAGATGTCCGCCGTGGTTTTGATTGGTTGTCAATAATCGTGAATAGAGAGAGAGCCTTTCTTGAGGGACTTGAATTTCTCCTCAAGTTGAATGGCCCGATAGTCTTTATTGTGGGTGAAGAGAGAGGAGATGGCGGTCCAGAGATCATTGGCAGTGGTTGTTTTGGAGAGAACCATACTGGACAGATCATCGGAGATGGTGCCGTAGATCCAAGATTGAAGGAGATAGTCTACGTGTTGCCATTCATCGGCGTGAATTGAGTCGGTTCAGGATTTTCCATGGAGATGAGGGACGCGACGATTGGAGGGGTAGGTCTACGGCGATCCGATTTGGAGCTCTGAAAGATGGAATCGGAGAAAACTTGTCAGAGGTTTGAAATTGTTTAATTGTTTTATGTTGGAGGGGGTTTTATTGTTACTGTTGGTATTTTCATCTTCATTATCTTAGTTGCCTCTTCTCCTCTCGAAAGTGTACAAGAATGTGTGTTGGAATTTTGACTGCACTTTGATGATTGATCACGAAAGTGGCAGATTGAAGCTCGAACTCTATTTGCTCTCTATTTTCATACGTAACAATTAGCTGCAATAATATACACAATAATATCAAGATAGGCAAGGTGAGGCACGAACTAGATCGCTCTCTTAAGACGAATTTCACGACCCCTTCTCTAATGAGGTGCAGAAAGGTTCCGATCATGTCGCCTAGGGATACAACAACCCAGCCTATCTCTCTACTATAACTTCACCGAAACTGCATGTTCAAGTGAAGCATAAGCTTACACCCGACACACAACAAGAGCTCAACATATATGTATATA